ATTCTAATAAAATGATAAATCATTATTCTAAAGAAATAATAAATAAAATCATTTTGATAGAATGATTGTGTATTATTTTAAAGGAATGATAAATAATATTATTCCAATAAAATAATTAAATATTATTCTAAAGAAATGATAAATAAAATCATTCTGATAGAATGATAATATATATTCTAAAGATAAAAGAATTATTCTGATAAAATGATAAAATATCATTTTATTAGAATAATAGAAAGAATCATTTCTTTAAAATGATAAAAGACCATTCTAAAGTAATGATAAATAAAATCATTCCTTAAGAATAATATATAGTCAACTCTCTATAAATGCATCCTTTTAGGATTAGACACAAGTGTGCATTTAGAAAGAGTATGTATTTATAGATATATATAAATTTATATAGCATTAATATAAAATTAAGGTAATACAAAAAATTTATAAGTAACTATTATAAAAATTTTTTGTCAAAGTATGTATTTACAAAGTGAGGTATATGTAAATATGCATTTAATTTATAAAGGGTGTATTTATAGAGAATTGACTATACTATAGTTTTATTAGAACAATTTTTTTTATCATTTCTATAAAATGATGATTTATTATTCTATTAAAATAAAACTTTTATTATTCTTTTAGAATAATGTATATCATTCTATTTAAATGATTTTTTTTATACTTTCTTTAAAAATAATTGTTAAATTTTTACTTGAGTTCAGCTTAACTTTAGGCTTGAGTTTAGCTTGAATTATCTTGAGTTAAGTCAAGCTTAACTTGAAACTCAACTCAAGTTAAATGTGTCAATTTTTTTGACTTAATTCGATTTAACTTAACTTAACTTATTTGACTCAAAAGTTGGCTCAACTTATTCAGAACTATGGTCAATATATTTGCTTAGAATCTTGATTCAATAAAGAGCATATTTAAGAAATTTTAGATCAATTTGGTCATAATCCTTAGATAAATCTTATTTTTATTAGTATTTTCCAATAGTATATTAATAATTTTGATGGATTTTTTAGTATATTTTTCAAATAATCCAGTGAAATTGTTTTCTTTAAGGGTTTTATATTTAGAAAAAATTTTTGAGAATCAATTGTTTATAGTTTTGATAAAGGTTTTTCTAAGTATTTTTAATAAGTTGATAAGATATATTTTAGTGATATCATACTCCTATTCTATTAGTTTCAAAATTGGATATACATAGGCTATTTTTCATTCATTAGGTATATTATTAATAGTAAAACACATGCAAATCAATTTCTAAATAAGCTTTTTAAATTTATTATTTAAGTATTAAAACATTTCATTATGAGGATCCAAAGGTCTAGCAGTCCTATTTGTTAGTAAATAAGAAAGAACAGAATTCTATTCATTATATATAAATAATTATACAATATTTTCATAATATTCTTAGATATATAATCTTTAGATTTATATCATAAGGTCTATTGATTATTTAATTCTCTTAGTGAAGAAGAAAAAAAAGATTAATAACAACTTTTTTAATTTTATCTGGATTTAATGTAAATCTTTTAAAATTATCTTTATTATTAATAAAACTCTATCTAAAGTGATTTTTTCATTTTCTTTATAGAATAGAATCTATCATTTTTTTAAGATGTAAATTTAATTGATTGCATCATTGATCAATAAAAGCCTTGATTTATAGATTATTAGATTTTTTATTATCAAATTTAGTGATTTTATATAAAGCTTTATAAAAGTTGTTTAATATTTTTTTGATTACTTAACAATTTGAAGAATCAACAAAAGGTAAAAGTAAATTTATTAGATATTCTATTTCTTTAACTATATTAGAAATATTGTGAAGATTTATTTTCTATTTTTTACTATTGATCAGAAAGATTGTAGAAGTCATTTAAAGTGAAATTTTAATAATATTTTTTTTATTTTTGTGAGCATATAGAGCATATAATAGTATTTAGAAATTTCTGTTGGTTGATTCATTTGTTAGAGTAATAAAAGCTATTTATATGGGATTTTAGACTTGCTAATTAACAAAATAGCTGTTTTCAGTTCTATTTATAACTTATTCATATTAGTAAAATTGAAAAATAGATCTTTTAATGATTAAAGTTATGATTAAAAATAGGCATCATAATTAAGAAGTTTCAACTCGGTAAGTTGCAATTTCTTGTAAATTTATTTTAATATAAAAATTCATAAAATATTACAACTCAAAGTACTCAAAGTGTTGCAACTTAAGTTGCAACTAGTTAAAAATTTTAAAAATAATTATGGAAACCATCTTTAGTTAGAATAATTATAATAGTACTCAGCAAATTCAGACTATTTAGATGTATTTATAGAACTGAGATTAGGAATCTTCCTTTTAGTATTATTAATTTAGATCTAGCTTGAAATTCCTGTTAGATCTTAAAAAAATAAGCAATAATAATCTTATGATCTGATTTATACAAATAAAAATAATTAATATTATAGTGTAAAAATTTAGAAATTAGATTTTGTGAAGCAAAGATGCATCAGGATGACTATTAATATTAATTCTATTAAATGTAAAAAGTGATATATCATGACAAATATCATATAAGTTTAGAAAATTTCTAAGTATATATAATAGGTCAAATTACCAAGAAATAGTTTTATTAAAATCAATAATCTTTTTGAGTTTGATTAAATTAGCATTAAAATCTCCCATCATTATTATATAAAACTATTTTTTGAGCTATTGTTTATTAATTTCAAAAGTTTTACTTGTAATACTTTTTGTGTTTTTACTTGAGAAGCATGTATATAAACTGAGAAGACTCTCAGTTTGATGTTACCTTTTAAGTAAAGATATCTATCATTATCCAAAAATTATCATACTATATGTTTTAATCATGTCTTGCTAATTAGGAGACCAACACCTGAAATGAACTAGTAATTGTACTCTAAAGGGAAACAAATTAGAATCTGAAGAGCATCTGAAAGTTTAAAGGGATTTATGCCATGTTTCTGTTTAGGATTTTACTATTTTTAACATTATCAAGTAAGGAGTGAACATTATATGTAGCGAATATGATTGTACCTTTGTTATAAATTTTTTCCAAATCATCACTATTTATAGTATCCAAATCATTGTAGGAAATATGATCACGTGATTAAGGTAAAGGAAAATGGAAGAGCATTGGAATTGAATTGAGAAGTATTAAGATTTGAAACAATTAAAACTTGCTTTCTTTCATGTTTTAAAAGACTTAATTTATCCATTCGCACTAACGTCCGATTGGGATGTCAAAGCTTTATGTTAATTTTCTGCGCATAAACAAATAAATTAAGGCATCATGGGACCGAATTTTAATGTAAAAAAGGTATTCATTCGGAGCAAAAAAAAAAGTAAGTCTTTATTTGGAGAATAAAACTCCAAAATTAAATGATTTTTTTATGTCATCAGATTTCAAGGAGCTTTGCTTCCGCCAAAATAAATCTTTTATGAAACGAATCAAAATTGAATAATGATTTACCTTACATAAGATAATTTTTTTTATAAACAACAATCATCCCTTAATTTTGCACAGATCGTTGTTTAGCGGAAAAAAAATTGAAATTGAGGTACATATTTGTTTATTTGTTTATATTATTAATACATAAATTATTTCCGCAGTAATAATTTTTTTATAAAAAAAATGCATCACGCTTAGAGTTTGAACAAAAAAGCACCACTCAGGAGTAATTTAATATTTGTATTACCTTTTTGATTTAAATGTTTGCAGCCTTTTTACTTTTATTTTAATTAAATTATGAACGAATACTAGATCCATTAGAAATTAATTAGCGGCGCAGACGACATTCGGTTATGATAAAGTTGGGATGATTTTCGATAATTTATGTGCAAATTATTTCCCAATTTCATAAAAAGCAAGGAGAGAAATAAAGAAATCCTTTGTAAAATACGAATTATAAATACAAGACTAAATAACTTACTGCGCCTGATGTTCCACTGAATATAATTGCGACCATTGCTCTTTCTATTCTCATGGAATGTTAAAATGCTTGTGTAATATTTTCCCGCCAAAAAAAATTTTTTGATAAATAAAACTGCAAATAATAAAATATTGGACTTCAGACTCCGGAAAGTTTTTTTAATCATGCGTTCATGTGACTACCATAAAAATCTCAATGAATGCGTTTAAATTATGAGTCATTGTTGGTGGGGTCATGGAGTTTGATCTGCAAAGGTCAAGGAAATGTATGTTTTTTCTTTGTTGAAGTTAAGTTAGATTGATCAGTAAATCTCACTCTCGTTGCTTTTGAAGTTCATATCAATCCATCATTTATCAGTTATTATATAAAGTTTATCATCTAAAACAAAAAACGCCGATATAACCGATATATATGTATAATCAATACCCGCCAAACTCCGCCACTCGATGTGCAAAATTTTTTCAAAAAATATGATAAAATCGATTTCATTTTTGAATAAGCTTTCTCCTTGATCAACATCTTTTTGAGCAACGAGAAACAAAAAAAGATTTTTTTATTTGTCAATTTGTTATCGTCAACTGCATCCTTGAATTACCACAAGCTTGCGAAATATCTATAGGGATAGTTTCTTTTTTTAGGTTTAACAGTTCGGTTACACACGCCCGAGCATTCCATTTTGTCAAGGATAGATAGTCACTCAACATTTTAGTTTAAAGTGAAAAAAAAAGATAACCCTTACCCTGCACCTGTCTGTCTTGTCTGTCTTTCACCAAAAAAAAGCCTTTGTAATTATTTTTAGTTTTTTGTCTCTTCTTTTTTAACACCAAAAAAAAAAATTTTTTAATATTTGTTAATATAATATTTTTTTCAAAAAAAAAAAAAAAAAAAAAAACTTTTAAAAACAATAGAAGTTACAAAAAAGAAAAAAAAAAAACTTAAAACTACATAAAATCTATAAATAAAAAAAAAAAAAAAAAGAAAATAAAGATACCAAAAATAATAAACGCGTATGTTGACAACTCTATAACTATCAAACAGTATTTTTCGCAATGCAAGCAAGTTCACTCCCAAACCCTCCTCCGATTCTGCCCCAATTATATCCGAGACTAGATAGCAGAATAGATAGCAACTTTCTTAACATACCTTCAATCGTAACATCTCCTTCCATACCTACCTCAGTGTCCGAATCTTTCCTGTTCAACTATCAACAAGATTCATTGAATAGTCCTATTTCCCAAGCAATATCCGCACCAGTCACCCCTACAAATAGTGTGACTCCAGGTTTCTCTCAGCCACCCAGAAGAGGTAAAGGAAATCAAAATGGTAGTAACTCTTCCAACGACGGAAAGGCCAACTCAAAAAGTAAGTTTTTAGGAAAATCATACACATATACTTAAGTGAACGAAGGATGAAAAACAGTATTATAATATCTACTTCGTCAGTGCTGCGTATTTATGCTGCACGACGTAGCTCTTAAATTTAATTATTAAAGTGCTGGCATACGCAATCAATCATTTAAACTATTGAATGACTAATTAAATTATACTTTTATTTTGATACCGATTTTGATCCATCAATTGCTAACCAATATAATAACATCTTTTGTATTTTTTTCTTTCTTTATGTTTGTCCATCCAACAAAAAATGACTTTAGGCAATAGTAATCTAGCGCACATTCCTTGCAAATTTTTCAAGAGTGGTGCCTGCACGGCAGGGAAAAATTGTGTCTTCTCTCATAGCAAGGATCCTCCATCTGATAATTACGTTTGTAAATACTTTCTAAAAGGGAACTGCAAATTTGGAAATAAATGTGCACTTTCTCATACTTTACCAAATGAACGTAAATCAAGTTCAAATGGTAGAAATAGCGGTAGCAAAAATGCTAATGGATCAAGGAATAGTATTTCCAACAGTATGATTCCAGAAATTAGGTCACCTATGATGCTTCCGCAAGGATACAGCCAAGATCTTAATGATTATCAACCTCTTAATTCTCCTGGAATTCCTTTCACACGTATTCCAATCAGTCCTGAATATGCGAGCAGCCACAGACAATTCAGCCAGTTGACAGCTTCACTGAATGATTCAGCTGCTTTTTCTGATGAGAATCATACCGCACCAAGATTACGAAACATCAATACAAATTTCAACAATGATCATTTATCCGCACCTATAAATATTAACGGCCAACAACGAAGATCACTTCCTGATATCTTTTTTGGTCCATTAAATAACAATAACAATAATAATAGCAACATTAATAATAATAATAATAATAATAATAATGCCGAATCTTTTGGAACCTCTCCATTTCATAATCCTGGCAGTAAATCAATATTTTTACCACTTTCTTATGTTAGTGAGAGTGGAATGCTTTCACCTACCGCCAATACTCATCAACATCTTCATAGCATTCCTGAACTTCATGATTATTCACATCATGAAGAAACAATCTTTGATGAGTTTGTTGCGTATGATTATGAAGAACTTCTTCCTTCCTCGTTAAATGATTTGTTAACTCCAACTGAACGTGAAAGACGTCGAAGTAGGCAGGAAGAATCTTCAGAAATAAATCCCAGGAGATTATTCAATGGTTCTTCTATGTTGCATCCTGCGCACATGGACAGTCAGCATCTTAATTATTATAACTCACACGCTGATCCTACACATATCCATTTTGCAGGGAGATCTCTGCCCGCTAATTATATGAATCAAACCGAAGGACAACAAGTTAATAATGCATACAATAGACAACATCTTTTTGGATTTCCTAGCATGAGAAATATTTCAATTAATAACAATTATGGAGAAGAATGGAATGATCAGCTTTCTCCTCTTAGTCCATTAGTTTCAATTCACAATCATAATCATCATCGTTTCAATAATAATAATAATAATAATAGTTATTCGTCTGATCACCATGGTACTCCAGCTATCAACATTCCCTTACCTCACGAATTTCATCAAACTGATACAAACTCTCCTTTGTATCCTGGCATAATAGGCCGACCAAATGGAAGTATGAATGTCAATGGTAATAGTGGCAATAACAGTAATACTGGTGACCGTCCAGCAACTCCAGATCCATTTAGTCCTTTTGTAACTGACGACGATGTTTTCGTCTTCTTTAACATGGAAGAAGATAAAAATGATCAAGTGCAAACAGAATTGTCATCTTCTAAATCATCTGAACAATTGAAAACCCCACTAACATACTCCGCAATTACCAAAACGGGTTTGAAGGATTCTGGTGCAACTCCCGGACTCAGTATCGACTCGAGGCGTTATGAGCCGGTTTGTTGATATAAATATATATATATATGTAATTTCAAAAAAAAAAAAAAAAAAAGAAAAAAAAAGACTTCCCTCATGGGAAGTTCATATGTATCATAATATTTTCAATTTATTAGTGAATTATATATAATTTTTTTTTTTAAAAAAAAAAAAAATGGATACAAAAAATTTCGGTTATTTTTTTGGGGAGGGCGATTTATATATCTTTTTTATTCTTTGTATTGAAAAGAAAACAAAATAAAATTATAATAATATTATTTTTTTTGTGCTTAATTATAAAATGGGAAATAATACCCTTTCTCTTTTATGTTTGTATCTTTTTTCTCTTTATCTATTGTTTTGGCTAATTCATAGTTATGCCCTTTCGGAATTGCTGGAAACTGTCGATATGGAGATCGATGTCATTATCTTCATGGTATGCCTTGTCCTTCTTGCCTTAAACATGTCCTGCACCCTTATCATAGTTCTGAAGAACATCAAGGTAAGTCGAATTTTTTTTCGAAAGATTTTTTTTTTGGTTAAAATCTAAAATTTAATTCATTTATAGAACATATTAACGAATGTATCAACAAGCAAATCCAAGTTGCTGAAGGTGTTAAACCAGAAGATCTCAAATGTGGAATTTGCCATGAAAAAGTATTATCAAAGGAAGATGCTCGTTTTGGTCTATTGAGTAAGTATCAATGGTGAATATAATGATGCTATCTGACAAATTATAGGTGATACAGATAAATTTAAATCTGGTTACGAAAATAGATTGCGAGCACGCGTTCTGTCTTCAATGCATTCGTCAATGGAGATCAAATATCACAATGGAAAATCAAGTTATTCGCGCTTGTCCAATTTGCAAAACATCAAGTCATTTTATTACCCCAAGCACTACCTGGATCACAGATCGTGCCGAGAAGCAAAGGGTGATTAACGAATATAAACGAAAGTGCAGGTAAACGGGAAAGAAGTGATATTTTTATCAAACCCAATATATATATTTATTTATTTATTTATTTTTTGTAGTATAATTCCATGCAGGAATTTTAATTATGGTGAAGGGCAATGTCAATTTGGAATTTCTTGTTTCTATGCACACACCTATCGCGATGGAACAAAGAAGGAAATTCATTTTCGCACTATTCAAAATGGAGAAGAAGTTAAGGTTTTAGATAATGTTCGTTTATGGGATTTCATGGAAGATTTTACCAACAAGTGTGTGGTGTCTGCTGAGAACTTTAACAGTGTACTTGGTGTCGTTAGTAATGATAGAACGGAGATCAATAACATGACACAAAATAATTATGATAACAATAATACTGATGGATCAGCTGATATCCCTACAATTACTACCCTTTTATCGAATTTATCTGTTGATTCTCCAGTTTTCATACCTTCTGGTAATAGAGCTGAAAATTGACTCAGCCGAGAGAATAAAATATAATATAATAGAAAGAAAGGAATGATGATCTTTTAAAAAAAATATTAATTAGGCATGTGTTATGCGATATAAAATGTTTAAAAATCGGTTATTACATGCCCAAAAGTAAATTTCATTAGTTAGATTTATAAACAAAAGCGTGGGGAGTCAAATCAAAAAGAAATTTAATGTATAATATTTGATCCTCTTTTGTGATATATAATATATATACATTATATAACAAAATTATTAACTTTAATAACGAAAATCTCTGGCATTTAAACTATATACAGTACATGTATATATTGTATATACTTTTTTTTTGTTAGTAAAATACAAATGTTTGATATAAAATAAAAAAATTTAAACTTCATTATTTTATTTAATTATAATACTTATTTTATAATAAAATTTAAAGGTTTTTACTATATAATAGTTATATTTAATAAAAATTCCTATTATATTTGAAAATTTCTCTTTTGATTCTGAATCAATTTTTTTTAACATAATCTTTTACCTATACTTAAATAATTTAAATTATAAATATAAATAAAAATACTATCATCAGAAATATTTACCCTATTTTAAATTATTAGTTATATTAATTTAATATTAAAATTTATTATAAAATCAGTACAAATTTCTTATATTATAAAATTAATTTTAATTAAATAATAATTTATTATTTTTTTTTAATATTAATTTAACATTTATACATTTTAAAATTAAATTAATATTAAGAATTTCAAAACCTTATATTAATTTAACATTAAAATATTGTTATATTTATATTGAATTTTATTAAGAAAATTTTCCTATAATATTAAATTCATTATCAATAAAAACAATTCAATAGGTTTTTTTTAATGATACTATTTAAAATTTATTTTAACATATAGCTTAAAAATTTAGAAATTTTTTTGAAACCTTTAAAAAACCTTTTTTTTTTAAATCTGAAACTTGATTAATTTAATTAAGTAAGTAAAGATATTTATAATAAAATAATAGTTTAATCTCAAATATCTCAAAATTCAAATTTCTAAAAATAGTTTAAAAAGGAATTTTTAATTCTTTTATAATTATTATTATTAATTATAATAAAAATAATATTTTTAAATTTATATTATAATTATTAATAATATTTTAAAATATATATATATATATATAAAAATAATATAATTAGCTAAATAAATAATTAAAATATAAGTTTTTATTTTTTAAATTATTATAATTAATAATTTATATTTTAAAAAATTACAAAAATCATTTATAAAAATTTGTATATAATGTAAATAATTAATAATAATAAAAAAAGAAAGTCAAAAAACTTTTTTTGAATTAATAAAAAAAAATAATATTTAATAGATGAGGTTTTTGCAATAGAAAGGATAGAAACTGCTAAAAAAATCTAAAATGAGTTAATGTTAAATTTGAACATATTTCAGCCTAAAAATCATATAAAAGTAAAATTGATTTTTCCTAGCAGTTTTTCTCCTTTCTATTGCAAGGTCCCCCTCCTCCCCCCTATATTATAAAAAGTAAGATTTATTATTTTATATAATTATTCTCTTTTTTTATTATAAAACATTTACTTATTTTAATCATTTTAAATTTGGTTAATAAAAATTTTTTTATTATATTAATATTATATGTTAATATTATTCATTTATTAAATTTGATTTATATTCCCTATAAGAAATCGAAATAAGGAAATGATATGTTTTTTTAAGGTTTGTATACGTAATTAATGATTCTATATCAAAATTCCGTATGTTTTATAATGATTTATTTTTTATAATTTTTAAAAAAATTAATGTATACGGAATTATTAAGGAATTTAAAATAACGTATAAATTTTACGTAAA